CATTTAACCATTTTTTCATGAAGTTTCTAACAGTGTAGGATACTAGGATGATTTATAAAAATATGAGAATTTTTTTGACTGTCTTCCATTATTCAATTTTGTTACCGAAAATATGGTCTCCTAACGTAAGCTAGAAGAATTTTACATTTTAAATAATATAAGATAGAGTAAAGGAACTTTTAATATTCTTTATTGGGAATTTATTTTCCAGATTACTTTTATTTCAACAATATATTCAAATAAAAAAATGAATAAATAAAAATAGATCTTTCAAGAAATATCCTAAAAAAGTCCTATTTTTAAAAAATGCTAGACTTTTTTTGAGAGCATATAAAACTAAAAATGTTTTTGAAACGTAACTGAAATTTTTTAACTGATATTTTCACTTAATTAAATGCTTGAATTGTTTTGAATAATATTTTTTTTTGCAATCAAAGCATCAAAACGCTTGAATGATTACTTATTTATGAATTGAAATTTAATGTGAAGAATGCAGATTTATATAGAGAATAGATAGAATTGCATTCGACATCAATATAAGAACTTTATGATAATCTTATTTTTATTTTTGTTACCAAATTTCGACTTATTTCTGACTGTATAATTCCGTTGAAAGAAGTTTTATTTAGTATGACACATACACCACATAACTTCGAATCTGAAAGAAATAATGAATAGTGAAAAAAAAAATGAATTTTTATAATTATATAAGTTTAAAATTGAAACTGGGAAAAAATCCATGCGTTTTGATTGCTTCCGATTTTATGATCTGTATATTTTGAAACGTTTGACAAACTACTTTAATCAAAATATTTAGCTCTCTGAATCGTAGTTTTATGCATTTACTTCAGAATATAAATGATGAAGTGCCAGAAACTTTCTAATATTTTTCAAATAATATAAAAAGTAATGATGGGAAAAAAATTAAATAATGATTAATAACACATTAGAAATAAATTTCTCTTGAAACCTCCTATTGGAAAATAATAAAATGGATGAGAAAAGACTTTGTTTTACTTTAATGGTCTGTAATAAATGATACATTATGAATGGCTACAAAATGGAAAATGATGAATTAATGAAACCGCATTAATCAAATTTATAATTTATTGAAATGCAAAAAAAAGGTAATGCAAAATAAATGTCTTTTTCATTACCAAAATGAAAGTATTTTCGTATAATGCAGATTTAAAATAAAATTGTCACCATTAAATTTTATGAATATGTTATTTAAATTATTGCTAGTATAGATTCAATAATTAATTAAAATAAATTATTTCAGTCATAATTAATGATTATAAATTAATAATATTTTCTTGTAATACTTGAAAATGCGTAGTTATATCTACAAACATTTTGTATTGTTTTTCAATATAGTATTTAAGGAAATTTAATAATTTGCTATTATTATATCTATGCACATTACGTTATTATATCAATACACATCTTGTATTATTTTGCAATATTATATTTAAGAAAATTTAATATTTCGCTATTATTATATCTTTACACATTGCATTATTATATCTATACACATTTTGTGCTGTTTTGCGAAATTATATTTGAGGAAATTTAATATTTTGCCCTTATTAAGTCAACACACATTGCGTTATTATATCTATACTCATTTTGTATTATTTTGCAACTTTATAAATAAAAAATTTATATTTTATCATTATTATATCTATACACATTGTGTTATTATATCTATACACATTGTGTTATTATATTTATATATACACATTGTGTTATTATATCTACACACATTTAGTATTGTTTTAAAGTATTTATTTAAGGAAATTTAATATTTCGCTATAATTATATCTAAACGCATTGCGTTATTACATCTATGCCCATTTTGTATTGTTTTGTAATATTATACTTAAACTAAACTCATCGGCACGACAGCCCATAGAGAGCCAGGGCCTACTGAACACATCTCAGTTTTCTTGACCTTGGGTTCTGGGATGCAGAAGCAGATGCTCCGGTCAGGTGGTCAGCCGAATGCGGAATCCCCAGTGTTTAGTTTCCAAGCATGCTTGGCACTCATTTATCGACCCACTGAAGGCATGAAAGGCTGAGAGTCAACCTTGCCCGGCCCGAGGATCGAACCCAGGACCTGTAGCATCGGAGCGCTACTACTCAGTCAATGTTACATTTAAGGAGACTTAATATTTTGCTATTTGCATATTATATATATATATATATTCATTAANGAATATATATATGCATATATTGTTGAATTATTTTGTAATATTTATTTTAGGAAATTTAATATTTTGCTGGAGAAGCTCTTTTTGTCAATGTTGTTGCGTTATATTTTCAAAAGAATCTTAAAAATAAATTTGAAACATGTTGTAGCAATAATTATTCTTTACTGCTACCTGATATGCTATTTCCTCTTATTAAAAATGCTCAAACATTTTGTGTTATCATGTATAACGAAATTTAGTACTTGCTTAAACAGAGTTGCTTACATACTTTCGTTTTAGACATATTCTATTCTAAAAACCAGCATATTTCTTATTTAATGTTAATCTATGTTAATGTCATGGATCAGTACTATTCAATATTATTTGCTACTTAGTATGCTGTACCATTTTCCTATTTCCCACAACTCTTTACGCAGGTAAAATACCATTAACATTTTGTATGCAATCATGATGACCTTAAATTTGGAGAAACAATTTTTCAAAACTGAAAAATTCAAAACTAAACCACTCATTAAAAGCAGCTGTATTTTCTTTTCATAATAAATTATGTGTAATCTTGGTAATCTATCTATAAAATTATAATATCTGATAGTTAACCATTATAATTCACCTAATGTGATAGACATTTAACTGTCCTTATGTTGCTCCTAATATTATCAAATATTACTCAGTATATGATAATACTATCATACTGTTCCTAGTATTATCATATATTGCCTAATATATGATAATACTGTGTCATAACGTTCTTGGAAAAGTTGCATGTTGCTTAGTATATGAGGATACTGTATCATATTAACTGAATTAAACTCTGTGGCATGACAGCTCATGGAGCGCCAAGGCCTACGGTGCCCATAACGGGTTTCTTGAACTTAAGCTCTGGGATGCAGGAGCAGATGTTCCCGTTGGGTGGTCAGCTGAATTCCCAGTGTTTAGTTACCAAGCATATGCATAGTACTCATTTCATCGACCCACAGAGGGGAGGAAGCCTGAGTCAACCTTGCTCGGTTTGAGAATAAAACCCTGGACTTGGGGCTCGGGAGCGCAGAGCGCTACCACTCAGCCACCGGGCTTCACTGTAATATATAATTTCTAGTATTATCCTATATTGTTTAGCACATGATAATACTGTATCATTTAGTTTTTAGTGTTATTATATATTGCACAGAATAAGGTTATACTGCATTATATAGTTCTTAGTATTATTATCTATTGCTTAGTATATAATAAGATTGTATCATATAGTTCTGAGTATTATCACATATCGCATTATATATGATAATACTGTGTCATATAGTTCCAAAATTATATATTGTCTAGCATATGATAATGTTATATTATATAATTATTAGTATTATGATTGTCATGTTATGCCTATAAAACAAATAATAGCTCACTTTAAGTCGTCAACTGGGGAATCCAATTACAGAGCTGTGTTCGGGTTTTGTTGATGCTATTCTCCTAAAATACCTTTTTTGTGGTTATTGTTATATAAATCCCCTCCTAAGAACATGAAAATGCATTTAATATTAATTATTCATAGATTTTGAACTCTTACTAGTTCATGATATTTTTTTTTTGAATTATTAAAAATACGTATTTGGATTTTTTGGTTTTTATTATTATTTTATTGATGCTTATTTTTATTGAAAATTAAATGAAATATACAGAATATTTAAGTATTCTGTATCTGAAGTTTTTAATTTTTTTTAATTCATTTGTTATTGAAAGGTATTTGAAGAATTAATTATTCATTATTATCACATTCAATTACCCCTGATTCAATTGTCACTGATTCAATTGTATGTTTAGTTGTCACTGATTAATCATGCTTGCTTGAAGTTATTAATTAAGACTAATTAAAGAAATGCAATGCAATTTAAAAATCAAACTAGATACTTACATTTATGATTTACTAGTTCAAGCTATTCAGCAAAAATTCAAGAGGGAATTACTATAAGAAGGGCCATTATTCAGGGTGCCGGTACCTTTCACGGTAAAATCAATTTTTACCGAAGCAGTTACGGAACTTAAAACTGATATACCTTGATTTTTTAAAGTAATGATTATAATAAAACTACTGAATCACTCTAATTTAAATATTACTCTAAAATTACGATATAATATTTTACGGTAAAATGAATTCTACGAATGATGCACCCAAACTACCTATACTTATAATCTGATTTGATCAAGAATTTTCTACAATGTAAGTGATAAATATAATGTGTGTTAAGAGTTTAAGTAACACTCAAAGTTTATAAAATAGAAAGAACTTTTCATTAATAAACTAAAATATTTTGAAGGAAAAATCAAAGATTCTTATGATCCCCGCCTTATAAATCTTAATAATGATCCTTAATAATAATAATGTATTAAAGAAACTGAACTTTGAGTTTGGATGGAAATTAGACATAAACCAAATTCATCATGTTGTGTTTTTTTTCTCGACAGTACCTGCACAAAACGTGCGTGATATTTAAATGAGTCACTTTATTATAAAAGGAAGAAAATTTAATGGGAAATACATGCTATTTTCTCACAGTAAAAACCCAAAATTTTTTTTAGCATCATAATTTTCTCTAAAAATAAGACATTAAACTTAGCGACAGATGTGCTTAAGAGGATCTTTACGAGTTTGGCGTTGCAGTAAGGAAGAAGAAAAATTTCCCCAAGAGCTAGCTCGCTAAAATTCCTCCCACTTTGGAATAACAAACGCAACAATCTACTGCTGCAACCCTGTTTTTCGATTCGAAAATTTTCCCGAGTCCCGGACTTTACCGGGAGTGTTCCAGGTTGCTAGGTTGGTTGCGCGCTTTTCTACCAGCATCTGCGACTGTGCGCGTCGATTAGCATAATTCACGGGCTTCCTTTCGTATCTTTCGAATTTCCCCAAAACATTTTAAGTGTTTTTCCGCAAGGCAGTCGTTCAAGTGTGATTTTAAGAACGGATTAAGAATTGTTCTTTTTTCCCGGAAATTGCTCTTGTAATTGCTTTGAAAGATTCGATATAAAAAATAAGGTAAGCATGCTTTGATTTGTTTATATATTTTGTTCATTTTCCTATTTAATTTGTTATTATTTTTAAAAACTTAGTTTAGGGATAGGTTAAAACAGCAATGTAAATTCGACGTCATTGTCCTGGATTAAATTTTTTTAAATAAAAAATTTACAAAGGACATGAATTGGTCAAAATGTGCAATCATTTTGAAAAAGGAAAATTTAAGATGAGAGAATCTCTATAACATTAAAATTTGTAATGTTCATATATATTGTTTCGGAATAAAAGTTTAAGGAACAGATTAGTTTAAGCAAAAACATAAAACTATTTAGTTATATTTGTTTTATTATCCTTTCTTTTTCTTTGATAAATTTCATTAAAAAGTAATAAGAAGGCATTATTAGTTTTTGGAATAATTTTTGGCGAGAACTGTCTGGAGATATTGATTACATGCATGAAATTTACCATTCTATTAAAAGGTAAATTTATTTTTTTTGATGACTACATGGGGAATCGAATTCTGGTAAAAATATCATACTGTGTGGTAATGACATTTCTGGTAAAAGTTAACCATAATTCTGGTTAATAAATAAAATATAGTTATTTTTTCGATACATTTGGTAATTTTTCAGTTCATATGTCGTACAATGGAAAAATCAATGCAAAAGAGACAAAAGAGTCAAAAATTGAGATCTTTATATATTTGACATTTTCGTACTTTTAAAAACTTTTTTTTTTCAAAAATCAATTTCGCTTAATCAGTTTTTTGAAAATCTACTTTACAGCATGGAGAAAAAATTTTTGGTGAAATTGCCGCACTCCGTAAAATATTCTGGTAAAATTTCTGTAAAATCGTATTTTTTAAAATTTTGCCAATATCAGTACCAAAGCGGTTTGTTAAAAATTTCGGAGCTTTTTGGAGCTCTCATGGATTCTGAAACATGGTAAATGTTACCACATTCTGGTAGTTTTAATATACTTTTTCTAGTGTGAGTTTTAGTGCATAATTAGTCTGATAACATTTAAATTTGCAATAATGCTAAATGTTAATTTAAACAACTTAAGTTCTTCGTTAATTTTTCTCACAACAATAAAAATTCAAGAACTTAAAACTTAGATAAAAAAGCGACTTATTTAAAACTAACCTTATTTAGAATTAACCATGTTCAAAATATATATAAAAAATATATTTTAATATATATGCTTAAAAATGATGTATTCAAATACTTATAAGTTCTAAAATTAGTATAATTTATTAGAATATTGAATAACCAAAGTTTTACTTATAATTATTATTTTCCCTGATAGTTTATAAATATATTGCTCTTTTGAACTAGCAAGTTTAACCTTAAGCGTTATTCTCTTTTACAAAAAGTCCCTTTTTTATTAGCTTTAAACATATATTTTAGTTTAATTATAGCATGTTATAAGAAACAAAAATCTTTCGTTAAACAAGCACTATTTTTAAAGATTTTCAATCAAGTAAATGTTTTTACTTGATCGAAAATAGTATAAGAATATAGTAATATAATAGAATTAATAGTTCATTAAGCCCATAGTGCTACAAACTAATAAGCTAAATGGAATAGTTCATATCGATGTTGAATCCATCAGTTTACTAGTTAGTTAAGTAGTTAATGGTAATGGTTAAAAATACAACTATAGCATATCGTTGAAAGTTTGAAAACAAAAGCAATGCTTCGAGAGCTAAAAGACCTAAAAAACTTTGAATTAAAATAATATAGTCATTTAAAATTCAAGCAGGATAATAATACGGATATTTTAAGCTGTTAAACAATATAATATTTAGATAAATTTTTTATAATTTAAAATCTACATTTTTATTATATTTAGGCTCAATTTTAATTTTTAAAATAAAATAAAGAGTAAAATAAATTTCGATAAAATTTCATTTTTATGCATGTACTAAGATATATTTTCTAAGGATTTGCGAATGTCTTAGATCATCTTAATAAATATTAATTTTGTAATTTTTTCATCGTTCTTTATATTTATTTAATAAAGGTCATAGTCATGGAAAGAAAATGTTTCACCTCTTAAACATATCTCAACACCACACTTAAATCTACAAATCTTTAAAAGCAGTTTTTTAAAAAATATTTCATTCATATTCCAAGGAAAAACCAACGAAAAGACTTTTCACAATGCAGAACTCCGAATGAATGGTTTGTTGTTAATGTCAAGATTAGCGAACGTAGAGAAAAAAAGCGGAAGTGCTAATCTCTCAAAAAGAGTATTGAAAAGTGTCTCACGATAATCAAAAAGTATCGGAAATCAAATACTTTTCAATCACATCAATAAAAGTACGTGATCGAAAAGCTGTTTAAAAATTATATGTAACGTAAATGTAGCGTAAATGCTTATATGTTTGTATTTAGAGCAAATCATGAGGATTTGAATTACATACATTGTATAAAATTCCAGAATAAATTACGGTAAAAAGTATCGACACTCTGTGTGCATCAATCGTATTATAAATTTTTCCATAGAATCCATTTTTCCGTAAGTTGATTCGGTGTCTTTTATAGTGTAGTCCGGAAATATCGTCGTAAGTGGTGGTGTGTTCTGTTCCAAAACAAACAAACAGACCAAAAAATCTTAATAGTGTAGCTCCCCTAGCGGCGTATGATGACATTTTCAGGCATAGGTTCCTAAGCAATTTTAATTCCGATGACGTGCCTTAATTCCCCTAGAATGTTGTTGTAACATTTGAGCAATCCTGTATTATATATAACATTGTTTACGCTTATATATTTCGACAAAAAAATAGTCTAATAATGTCATTTTAAAAAAGGAAGATGGAGAGGGAACAGATTGCAGATTTGAAATCGGCGATACGAAAGTATTAGATCTCATGCAACAGAAAACAAAAAGTGTTATCTTACAAAATTCTTTAGTGTTATCTTAAAAATGTTTTACAATAGTTTCCATCAATTTGTTCAGATTTTTGGAACTATACAGTTCCGCGATTTTGTTTTTAAATTTACAGATTTTTTATTCAGTAAACGCAATTATTTTAAAGTACTTATAAATCATAGCATGCTTGAAAAGTAAAAATTATTTATTAAAAGTATGGTAATACAACATAGTTTTACGATCAATTTTGTCATCTAATAAAGATGGTAATTAATTCTCTTAAAAGTTATCCGAGATTTGAAAGAAACACTGAAAAAACTACGTTCTTTTTCTTTATTTCCTTATTCTGAATGAATTACAGTTATTGGATGCAAAATATATCATAAAGACAATTTTAACTAAAGTGCAATAGTGCAGTTACCTCATTCAAAACAATACCGTATTCAAAACAAAACAAATAAAAATCATGATTCGTAATTAATTAGAAGAATTTTCCTAAGCTAAAAATTCAGACTATTTTCAAATTTAAATTGATAAACATTTAAATCATTGTTACGTACTATGAAATTTAACAAAAGAAGCTTATAAAAATATATATTGACAATACTCGTCAGAAGTTAAAAATGAAGCATCTAATTTGTTTCCCTTTGAAAACAGTAACACTTCTAAAGTATGCTCTTTTAGAATAACCTTTTAACAAACAATCATTTAAATGAATTCTTATTAAGTGGCAGATTGTAATTCTTTATTAAAACTAACAGGTAGCAGGTTATTCAAACTAATTTAACAAAATTTTAAAGGTAAATAAAGCATACAAACATTTGTGATTCACCATGAGTTAATTTAATAAAATTATATAAGCTATTAATACCAATAAGTTTATCAATACAAAAATAATAAAATGCTTACTTCATTTCTCATTTTAATGATTTTTATAGATAAGGTACCAAGTTCTTAAATAAAAGAGTTAAGTTTATTAAAAAAAATAATACATTATGGGAAATATTAGTAACAATATGTTGCAATACTGCCAACAATTCAGTTATCAAAACCTTCTAAATTTTTTCGCAAAAATCTTAAGTTTAAGCAAAACAAATCAAGTAGGTTAAAATTATCGAATTATTTCCTTAACTATATGCTATGCGTTCATTTTGTGTAGCGTTTTATTTTAATTTATAAACATTAGTAAAGATCAATAGTTATTATTTTTATTTCCGATTTTTTTTAAAACGTAAGTTTTAATGAAATAATTTCTTTTGGGGGCAAATTTATCACAAACGTTTTTCAGAGAATAACAAATGCTTGTGTTCTCGTAGATATTCGAATCACGTAAAACTGACTTCATCACACAAACTACCTGCCAAAGGCAAACCACTGTTTCGTTGATTGATAATTGCTTCTGCCAAAACCAGATTAATGAGAACTGAATAACTATATTTATTCAGATGTTTCCTTATATATGAGATTTCTCATTTCTTTTTATAGTGAATTGAATTTAAGAGTTATTATTATAAATTATTTTTTAATAATAACTCTTTTTAATAAGAACTATTGTTTTCAATTTAGTGTTCCCAGATAAATTAGAATTTTAACGAGAATTTGAAATATTTTACAAATGTAAATTATAATAATAAAATATTCATATTTTATTTAAGGAATAAAATATGTTGAAGAAAAAGCAATAAAAAAAAGAAATAAGACGAAGAAAAGAAAAAAAGAATAAGAAAAAGAAATATCATTAAAATTAATTTAAACTAGCCTCCTATAGTGACCAGATTGGTCACCTTTCAAAATTATCTTGTACAACATACAGACTTTAATGTAAAACAAGCTGAAGGTACGGGGAAACTGTATTTAAATATTCCAACTCTTCAACCCCTCTTCCAATCCTAAAGTCCCAATCTTAATTAGTTTTATTTATAACATTTATATAATATATTACCTAATCAAATTAGTTGTTATCCTCGTGGAAGTACTTTGATTTCAATTTTAACTATTTTCAAGAGATGTCTACGATATCGTTAAAGTTCGTTATATATTGAATTTTAGCAATAATTTATTATCTATATGATAAGCCTTTAACTCACACAAATCACCGTAAATATGAACTTACTGTACATTAGTTCATTAATCAAGTAATCAAG